GATCTCGTACATCCCACCTTTCGCTGTTGTTTTCTCAGTTGGAGTGCGTTCACCTTCCCATTGGCAATGGTTTTGTGACATGTTTTCTATCAGTTGATAGGCTTCATCGTATGGCTTATCCATAAGTGTGCCGCCCGCGGCAGCGTCTATTGTCAATCTAGTATTGTATAGAAGCCCATTATAGAAAGTATGGATTGTCACCCAGTCTTCTAGACCGTGGTGAGGACATGTTCTCATCATATCTTTGAATCGTTCCCATGCTTCGTAAAGAGATTCAGTATCTTTCTGTCGAAATCCGTTGATTTGAGCTCTAAGCATGACAGTTTTGCTTGGCGGAAAATATCTCGCTAAGAAGACGTTCTTCAATTGCTCCCACGTCGTAACAGAGTTGGATGGTAACGATTGTAACCATGTCCGCGCTCTGTCTCTAAGAGAGAATGGGAAAAGACGAAGTCTTATCGCGTCTGGAGTTACTCCATTTGCTTTCACTGTGTCTGCGTATTGTACAAACTTCGTTAGATGTTCGTTCGGATCCTCAGTTGCGTTTCCTGAGAATTGGTTTTGTTGCACAGCCGACAGCAATGATGGTTTCAGCTCAAAATCGTTTCGGGTAATAGCTGGGGCAGCAATGCTACTTCTAGGCTCCATCTGAGATGGTGTAGCGTATGCCTTCAGCGGTTTGTTTGGAGGTCCTTCAGCCATCTCTGGTTCTTCTTCTTCTGATTTGGGAATGGGAGTGAGAGGTTCGGGAGTGTTATGTTTGAGTTGTTTGAGTTGGTACTCAATGATTCTACTTCTTAAATGTAAGAAGCGTTCTAGTTCTGCGACTGAAGGTTTTACGATATCGCTTTGCGGGCGATTTCTTGGCATACAATCGACAGAACTAGTAAAGGGAAAATGAAAATTGTTAACCTAGTCTATACGGCGTAACAGAAGGTTACACTATTGACTAAACGGGTCCCCGGCAACGGCGCCAAAAACTTGATCGCGACTTTCTATGTCTAATACAACCTAACTGCAAGTGCACAGTCTATCGCGTAGTAATAATAGATATCGATCCCACAGGGACTCGTAATCAAACTAGTGTTCTCGGGAGTTACTATGTTTAGCTAGGTAGAATATGTTTAAGGGAATAAGATTGTCACTAAAAGGGAACTAAGAATACTATTTGGCTTATAATTGATTGAATCGATACGTAGTGATTGTGTTCTTCAGGGATTTGATAAGTTACTGGTGTATGAAGTAATTTTCAAAGTTTATTTAAGCAGAAAATGGAGATTTGAAGACTCTCGCCTCACGATGGTTATTGACGCTAATCATAATCCTAAGGGCCAAACGTACACTTTCGTATCCCGTTCGGGGTTAAAATTACTTTTTGGAAATCTCTAAGTTCTAATTTATTTTAAAGTGCTTTCGCTGTTATTAAAATAAATGACTGGTGTTTACTATCTGACCTTACCGCAGCTTTCGCTTGTTGGTTCGTATCTTAATTAATTTCCCACTTTCGTGGCAAAACTACTTTTAAATAAGCTCTCGCTTTCGCGACGAAGTTTATTCAGTGAATCAATTTTAAACGCTCAGACCATAAATTACTTTTTTGAAAAGAAAGTTTTTCAACCAGTTGTTATCAAATCCCATTCGAATTATTACTACATATCGATTGCCTAAGTTTAGCTAGACATGGATTTAGGAAAGATAAAACATAAATAAAAATAATAAATAATGATTTGCATTATAATAAAACTGAAATCGATTGAAATGAGAAACCTGTAAATATTCCAATTGGCCTTTGGGCAGATCCTCCACAGATGTTGGCAGGATTCTGGTCTTTATGCCAAATTGATCGTACAATAAAATAGAAGTTATATAAGAATGGAAAATGGAATACAGGAAAGGTAAAGAGAAACAAATAAGAATATTGCTGGAAAATATGCTCTGGAAAGTAAATTCGGCAGCACTTCGTGGTATGAATGCAGCACCTCTTCTGAAGTCCCTTGCTTCCCTTTTTATAGAAGTGGAATCCCAACGGTTATCACTGAATATGATGGACCTTGAGGCAGATAATTTAGGGAGTATTGGTCCACTCTGTGGGAATTGGAACTGATTCTTTGACGTGTAATCTGAGTGGGGAGTTTTTGCCTGCATGACGGTCGTCACAAGGTGTGACGGTCGTCACCCGTGTGACGGTCGTCATGAAGCTGTGACGGTCGTCACATCAGCAAAAACAGCTTGTTGCGCTTTTCATTGTGTTTTCACTCCTTTTTCGTCCATATTTCATCTGAGATTGCTTCTTTTCTTCATGTTGCCTTGTTTAGATGTGATCGTTGAATACCTGCAAAACATCATACAAATACACGGAAATAACCCGAAATCGGATCGAAAACGGTTAGACTTTAGTTGAATTATGCATAAAAATATCTATATGATTTCGTGTTATCAAGTGGTACCTGGGAACTGGTTCCTCTACCCCATGGAAAATATTTAGTAGGTTGTCGTTGGCTTTATACAGTGAAGGTTGGTCCAGATGGCAAGATTGATCGATTTAAAGCTCGCTTGGTAGCCAAAGGATACACTCAAATTTTTGGGTTGGATTATGGTGATACCTTTTCGCCTGTAGTCAAGATGGCATCTGTTAGACTTCTTCTAGCAATTGCAGCCATTCGACATTGGTCTCTTCATCAACTTGACATCAAAAATGCATTCTTACATGGCGATCTTAAAGAGGAAGTATATATGGAGCAACTACCTGGGTTTGTTGCTCAGAGGGAGTCATCGAATATGGTTTGTAGGCTACACAGGTCTCTTTATGGTCTTAAGCAATCTCCGAGAGCTTGGTTTGGTAGATTCAGCACTGTAGTACAACAGTTTGGTATGATCCGTAGTGAAGCTGACCATTCTGTTTTTTATCGTCACTCACCCCAAGGGTGTATTTATCTTATTGTGTATGTAGATGACATTGTCATAACTGGTAGTGATCAGCAGGGAATACTCCAGTTGAAACAACATCTCTCGAAACAATTTCAGACAAAAGATCTTGGTAAACTCTGTTATTTCTTGGGTATTGAAGTAGCCCAATCTAAAGATGGTTTGGTGGTTTCTTAGCGTAAATATGTTATGGATATTTTGGAAGAAACAAGATTGTTAAATGCTAAATCAGCCGATACTCCTATGGATCCAAGTGTTAAACTACTACCCAATTAGGGGGAGCCTCTATCTGACTCATGAAGGTATAGGAGATTGGTTGGAAAGTTGAATTATCTCATAGTCACTCGTCCGGACATTTCTTTTGCAGTCAGTGTGGTAAGCCAGTTCTTAAATTCTCCTTGTCAGGAACACATAGATGTTGTTATCCGGATTTTGAGATACATCAAATGTGCTCCAGGAAAAGGTCTTGTGTATGAGGATAAAAGACATACCCAGATAATAGGATACTCTGATGCTGATTGGGCAGGGTCGCCCATTGATAGACGATCCACCTCTGGGTATTGTGTACTTGTTGGAGGAAACCTTATATCCTGAAAAAGTAAGAAACAAAATGTAGTTGCAAGATCAAGCGCCGAGGCAGAGTATATGGCCATGGCAATGGCAACATGTGAACTTATTTGATTAAAACAGTTGCTCAAGGAACTTCAAATTGAATAAGCAAGACCAATGACACTTATTTGTGATAATCAAGCTGCATTGCACATTGATTCAAATCCAGTCTTCCATAAGAGGACAAAACATATTGAGATAGACTGTCACTTTGTCAGAGAGAAGATCGAGTCAGGCGACATCGTCACAAGCTTTGTCAACTCTAATGATCAATTGGCAGATGTGTTTACAAAATCTCTACGAAGCCCCAGAACTAATTATATATGTAACAAGTTTGGTGCATTCGACTTATATGCTCAAGCTTGAGGGGGAGTGTTAATATTTATAAATATATATAGTGTTAAGAATATTTGTATATAGAATAGTCTCACATCGACTATATCATGTAATTAGTTGTAATTTATTTATATATAATAATGTCTCCGTAGTGCTTTTCAAAACACACGGTTTATTCAAATGTCTCTTAGTCTCTTGTATTTCAACACAAACTAAGGATTTTGTAAACCTATAAATCTTAAATTTTAAACCCAAAAATAATGTTGAATGGTTGGCCTTTTTTCAATTGCAGGTCTATTGTTGTCCTAAGAGGAAGATACCTAAGTGTGCAGGATTAGGCAAAAGATATACAAGTCCTAATCCTTATTGTAATAAACTCAGTTTTTTCCTAATAATAGAAATACAAAGGATTTAAAGATTTTCCTCTCTATTTTTTCTAAATGGTATATCATAGAACCTCAAGATATGTTGCAACCAAAATTTTCTCTAAATGGTATCATAGAACATCAAGATATGTTGCAACCAAAACTCCTCCCACCTTTTGTGACAATGGAAGTGTTGTTGCAATTGGTCACAATATTGTGCAATCACATAGAAACTTAATCGTTAGCTTTAGGACCAGGCTCAAGGTGGTTTCTCTGCAGTTCACACAAAAGTTTTACCCCTCAAATTTAAATGGTGATATACTAAGAAAGTTGAAAACAACTAGAAAACTATAAGAGAAATGACATGGAATTGCCTTGTATTTAAGTTTTGCTCCTTGCATTTTTCCACAAACAACTGAAACAAAGAGTTTTTCGAACCTACTTTCGATAAATAAAAACTAGGCATATACAGAGAATCAACACCCAGGAAAGTCTAACTTTGTGAACAAAAGAGCTATGTATTAAGAAAATAAATAAACTTGTACACAAAAGACCTCTCTACTCTAAACAGCTCTTGATTCAGAAGTAGAACACCTTTTCTTCAGAAGTACTAGTGAGAAAACAGAGGAATGCCTCTGAGAATTGAAATCCAGAAGGACCACTTTGCAGATCGGCAATACATGGGATACGAAAGCTTTCTGAACCATTTCCTCAACAGACAGAAAATTCCAGCGAACCCTATTTTTTATTGGGGGTTGAGAAGAGTTAATATAATCGGTTGCGCAAGCGTAGATTATACTTTTTTGTACTCGGAGAGATTGTTATCGAATTCTCTGCAACTTCTTCTGGAATTATAAAGTCAGGATCATCCAGCTCATTCACATCATCAGATAAATCATTATCTATCCATTGAGACCAATCCATATAATCATCATCATCCTCATCGAAGTTCGACTCTTCTATTTTTTGAATGTTGTTAATCTTGTTAACTAATGTTAATAGCATTTGATGATTCATCCTTTCAAAGTCTCTGCATGATTATTAACAATCAATTCTCAGATATTCTTTATATTTATATTGTACATAAAATCTACATATAAATGACAAATTATTCACTTACTTGTATGTGCAAATTGCATATAAAAGTTGAACCAAACCAGCTCCCATGAAACATAGTCTGATTTTGTTGATTATCCATGTTTGTTTCTCCATGTTGTCATTTAATAAACGGATAATGAATACTTCAACCATGAGAGCAACACAAAACTCTGAAAACAACAATCAAGTCCCGCATAATATAAATGTTTAATCAATTATTACTTCGAGGTCAAGAAACTAAAAACACTAGTTATAGCATATACTTACCGATATAAAGTAACGGTCTGATATTATAAGTTAGTTTTGTGCTAGTCAACATAAAGATGACAAAGATTGAAATTGAATAAATGAAGAAAGCTTTAATCACTCTTGATTCAAGCAACATGGCATTTTGCAAAGCAAATAGTTTATCCAAAGCAACAAACATAGTAGCCTGTTTTGCCTCAAATGATTCCTATAAAGTACAAACAGTAAGGATTCATGAGCATAATCAACATAAACACCAAAAAATTAATAGACCAAAAAGGTTGCAAACCTGTGCAGACAATATTGTTTTTGAATTCTCCATTAATTTATCATGTAGGCCTTGAATTTGTTCTTGCCTCTTTAGAAGCTCTTCTTGTTGCCTATGTCCATATTCTGCAAAATATTGGAGGCTTTTCCTACATTTCACAATTCATGAGGTTAATGTTTTGCCAAATAAAAATTGAGTTTCTAGCATTTAATCAATCTTACCTGCTTTCTTCAAGTGCTTTGAGTTGAACCTCATTCAATGAATTTAGACCCTTGAGTGCGGTGGATTGTCCGTCTAAAAGTTGTTGTTGTTTATCTAAAGAAATCCCTGCCATATTTCCAATATCTTCAGCTTTGTTTTGCAGATTGTTCATCTTTGATGACATAGCATCGCCAACTTTGATCACCTCGTTCTCAATCTCAATGGCTTCATCTCTTAACTTTTCTATTTCCGTTCCCAAATAACTATAAGATTCTTTAAGCAATGCTACTCCATCCTCTAAATTCCTCTTCATGTCTTCTTGGCCTTCTTTTAGTTCGGATTGTGATACAGCAATTTTCGTAGTTTGCTCATAAACACTCTCAGAGTGTCTTAATACCACATCAATATGACCTTTCACATTCTTAACAGTTTGCGCTACTAGCTGCGTGTGACTATTAACCGATTCAAGAGATTCAGAAATTTGTTTTGAGCCTTGTAATAGATTATCTGATTTCTCTTCAATGCTGTCTAACTTGTCCTCGACATATTGGGCCGAACTTTTCAATTCAGTCACAAGTCTCTCAGTTTCATGTTTAAACGCATGTGTCCTGTACAAGTATACAAACTTAGTTCAAGTTGAGACAAAAACAATGAACAATAATATTAAAGATTGAAAAAGAAACATCACTTAACTGTAATTGGTAGCAAATTGAGTTGGTTTCAAGGTAGAATTCAAGATAAACCTTATGAGCAAGATCATCCAAGTCTCTCAGACATTTAGCAATCTGTGTTTTTGAGTCACAACGAGGAAATGAAGCTCTACCAGAGTCCTTTTGAAAACAATCACTTAAATGCCAAGCTAATCTAGATCTTTTGTCATCGGTCGCCAAAATCTCCGAACATCCGGCAAAAAGATGCTGATAAGCATTTTGCCAACAAGCATTTGATCCAGACATTTTATTCTTAGCATTCTCTACTAGTTTTATTCCCTTTGGGTCATTGAAAGGCTCAATTGAGAATTCAGCACTCGAACCTCTAAAATTTGCTTGATTTTCGTAACTCCTCTCACTAGTATGACTCTCTTTAGATGATGAAAACCAACCCCATGATTCACACCTTAACGAGAAAGATAGCAAAATAAGAAGAAAAAATCCAACTCTGAGATCATCCATTTGAGATTTTTACAGCACTTTCAGGAATCAAGATAAAACCTGCATCAAACACAAGCAGTGGGAACAAACAGTGACACTAGCGTGTTGTAGAAGAAGACGAACAAGCCGGAAAGGGATTGTTTTCCTGTGTCTTTTGAAATTTTCTATGACTATTCAGTTTATAATTAAAACAGAGAACTTGGGGTGCAAGAAACATAGTAGTGATGTCGGTTCAAAAAGTAACGTATGAAGTAACTTTTCTGCTTTTATTCTTTTACCGTTATAGGATTCCAATCATTTCATACAAAATATTTTATGATTTTTTTCCAATATAAATAATTATATAACATGATTTATATACCATTGTGGACGGATCTTTACCAAATCATTTTAATGTTATATTATTTTTATATTGATTTATTATGAGTAATAAATTCTAAAAATTACAGTTTTTTAATAAAATACATGCCAAAAAATTATTTAGAAAAATATCAACCAAAAATAAATATCACTAAATTAAATAAAGATATGTATAGTTTTTTTTTTAAGATCGAAAAGATATATATATATATATATATATATATATATATATATATATATATATATATATATATATATATATATATATATATATATATATATATATATATATATATATATAAGCCATTACAGTGCAATGTCCAAAAGAAACCAAAGAAAGTGCCAGTATAAAAAACAACTGAAGAACCTTGAGAATATTAAATCAAAATTATATACCATAAAAATAACAGAAAAATCTTTCGAATATTACATACGCTATCATTATCGTTAATATTAGAATATATATTTAAATGGCGAAATAATAAATAAATTAACACTACGTAAGTGTTAGGTTGCTGCAAAATCCACAAAACAACAAGAGAAAAACCAAAAAGAAATTTAGAGGGCATTCAAAGATTGAGATGAAACATAAATACTTTCTCTTGGGCGAATTTAGAAAAGTAATTATGTAAAAAAAAAATATAAAAAAAATAAAAAAAACTCTATTGCGAAGATTTCTCATTAGAATCAATTAACTATTTTTGTGATGTATTATTGACACATTGAATTTTTTACTTTATTTAAATCCAAATCACCAATTATATTAGATTAGTCATTAGTTTTTATTTATTTATAAATATTACCTTCTAATATTTAAAATTGTTATGAAGTGGAATGAGAAATACGTGATGCTGAAGAAATGATTTTTTCTCGAGGGAGGACTAGAGATTTTAGTGCAACGGAGCAGGGAGAATTAACAATGTTAGCACTTTCAATGCCTAAGTTAGAGAAATCTTAAAGAACTAGTTTGGAAGTGAAAGTAATATCATACTTTAAATGGCGCGTCAGTTGACTGAATTGTATGGTAGATGGTTAAAACTACTTTCATATAATCCAACGTGAGATGTAAAGAGTTGTCCGATCAGATCCAACAACGAAATATGCATTAATACACTTTTGACAAGGTCCCACATGTTCTTGTGTTAGGCCGAAACAGTTGCTTTCATGTCCTTGTTAATATTTGATGAAACAGGGATTGACATTATCCGGCTACACATTGATGCCATCGTGTTCTTCGTAAACTAGTCTTCAGTTCACATAAGAAGAAATGAGAAAGTTTGATGAGTAGAAGTAGGTGGCCACAGGAACATGCACATTAAATGCTAGTCTCTTCATTGAAACATTTCACATTGCTACCTCTACACGTGACTTCGAATCTCTAGTGTAGGGAATCTCACTACCGTTTAGGGAACTCAAATGCACTTGAGTACCGTTGCGATCTCGAGTTGTTCTCCACCATTGATTTTGCCTCCCAAACTTCATTGGATTGATGTTAGACTGTTTTCATATCTGTATTATTCTATTTGTTTGATGTTGGATTATTTGACTCGAAAGAGTCATCTTGCTTACTGTGTTTTATTACAGGGGGTTGTTGGGTTGTGAATCTCTTCGTGTTGGCAAATGGTTTATTTAACCTTGACAAGTGAAGAATCACACATGACATTTTTCTTTTACTATTTGGTTTCGAGCCTGTATGTGGGTTCGCTGGATAGTGTTTGTTGTGTGTGTGTGTGTGTGTGTGCGCGCGCACGCGCGCGCATTTGCTTTGGTTTTTTAGACCATTTTTGTTGTATATGAGTTGTTTGTATACCCTATTTGGGATAATTATGTGGTTTAATTGGGTTTGGTTTATGTCCCCCCCAGTACTTTGTAATTCCTTTTTTATTTTATATATTTGGCTTTATAAAAAATCAAGCACTCTTTTTCTTATTACCAGTTCCCTGTTGTTATTCTTGAGTTCAAACGATAGTTTAGTCAGTTCACCTGTTTCTTCTTCATTGATTATGCATTCCATCGTTGCTTCTATGTTTCTGGGTGACTTTCTTTGCATCTCATTCACCTTTATCTCCATATTTTTTTTGAGGTAATATTTTTCCCATTATTCCATTATTGTTGTTCCCATTTTTTTCATTAGTCATGGCCAACCTAGGAGTTCCAAACCTGAATTTTATGGATTTATCTAGTGGTGATGATATAAGTGATGTTTCTTCGTGCACTAGACTAATTGAACTTGAGGTATTATAAGTGTTTCCTTTACCAGTGTTACATCCTCCTATGAATTTTATATAGATTAGTGATAGTTCTGACTATATGATAAATTATGATGATGATGATGATGGCGATGAACCTGGCGGTTCTTAAAAAGATGAAAACATAGAGGGTCCTTTAGAGGAAGGTGGGGGTTAATCCACTCAGGCTTGACATAATAAAGGTTGGTTGTGGTTTTTCCTTCCCCATAATACCCATGGTAAACTCACAGATAGTTGAAGAGTATGAAGTTGATTCGAGGGCTCGCCCTTACATCAAATCCTTTAGGACTCTATAAGGTTAGAAACTCAGTAATGACAAATTTAGGCAGTACCTTGAATATCCCAGACACACTCCTGAACTCATGATCATGATTTCTTGTCTACTGACTATGAGGAGGAAATTGTTCAAAGGAGACAACAAGGTATTAAACTTTTTTTCGATGCTGGAAAATGGGGCATATAGATTGGAAAATCCTCATTGAGAAGGTGACCTATATTCAGATTAGTCAGTCTCCCATATAGAGCCCAATATGAGGTTATTTGGCTCTTCTCAAGGGTGTTTGGTGCCTGTTAATAAGTTCATGTTCTCTATGATGGGACTCAGCCTCCCTTTAAACGACTTCGGAGTGGGAATTTTAAATCACCTAAAGGTATCTCTCTCTCTCTCTCTCTCTCTCTCTCTCTCTCTCTCTCTCTCTCTCTCTCTCTCTCTCTCTCTCTCTCTCTCTCTCTCTCTTTCTCTCTCTCTCTCAACTGCATCCGGTGAGTTGGAATACATAAGGGTATTCCAATATTGGTGTGAGTATAGGAATGAGGTACCAATTTTGAATTCATTCTTTCATATATTCAACGTGCAACATACTTCGGCCAAGAAAGAGCGGGGGAAAGGTTGCTTTCATTTCGTCAAGCAAAAAAATGTTCGATGTTTGCATTGGCATCCTAGAGAATTTTAAAGGTTGGCATTTTTTAGCCGTTCCTCAATGTTGTGAGCTACATTCAAGTTTTTGTGTTCTTCTAGAGGATTCCTCATATTTACCCTGGTTCAGAGCATCCTAGATGTATGGATAGATTCCCCAAGTATTGTAATCGCAACCATTTATTGAAGACTCCAAACAAATACTCTCTCCATTCTTTTTTATAAGCAACTTTTAATTTTTAGATTTATTAAATAATTGATGTATCTAGTCTATAAATAGTTCAAATACATCATTTATTCCATGAACCTAAAAAATAAAATTTGATTATAAAAGAGAATGGAGGGAGTGCATTTTTCCTCTAGAATATTTGTCACGGGAAGAAGAAGGATGACTTTGTGGCATTCTAGGAAAGCTTGATATTCTTCAAAGTGGTTGGTCCTTCATATGTATCAGCGTCTTACCAAAAAAGGCAGTATATTGAAATATAATTGTTATGGGAGGTGGCCGACGAACAAGAAATGAAGGAGATCTTTAGTGAGAAGGGAGAATTACTTTTTTTATATATGTCTTCACGGTTCCTTTAGTACTTGTTCTAACCGTCGTCCTTACCGTGATTTGCAAATAACATAAGTTTCATTCATGAAATAATCAAGAGGAAGAAGACATTAGTGAAGAATAACCCTACACCCCTCAGGTTCTATCCATAGATATTGTCGGGCTAGCAGTAGAAACTGGCCCAAATGAAAATAATACCCAACATCCCAAACACGTGCAGTTCAAACAAAAAAGGGCGTGATGGGTCAAAACCAACCATAGTATGAGGCTTGGAGGAAGAAGTCCAATGATAGGAAAGGGAAAATATTGGTTGAAGGCAGTTTATAACGGCTCCTCAAATAAGGACACATGCAAGGATTCAACCTAAGAACTACCTTTGAAGAAATCCAAGCAGACAATGGTCGTGGTTGACCAAGCGGTTATAGGTGAAATCTAAGTGAGTTACCCTCCTTCTCAATGCAGCAGTTTCTCCTTATCAAGGCTCCTCATACTGCCAATGATGTCCAAACCTATTTTCCTAAATGAGGTTATACATAGTTTCAAAAGATAACTGAGATATTCAAACGGCAGGCTATGAAGGAAATTTCCTACCAGATGCATTGGGATGCATATGTGTTGTCTTTTTATGCTTTTGGTCAGAGAAGGCACTTTAGAGGAAACAACTCAATAATAACCTTCTCAAGCGGCCTAGGCCTTAGAAGGAGCTGACACAAACAAAGGAGTGACTTATTTCTTCAGAAAAATAAGTCCCTTGGGGAGGTCCAAACTTCATTTGCTACATTCAAAAATACATTAGACAATGTCTAGAAATCCCTTTCTACCATGACGCCAATGGTGTTAGAGATTGAGACCTCCTTGGCGAAGTGGAGAGAAGTTTGTTCCAAGAAGGTGAAGGCCTATGAGGACTGTCTGAAGGAGTTGTGGAAAGAGCTTAAAGACT